TTTATCTTTCTATCTTTTATCTTTCTTATATTCTTATGTTATTGTTATCTTATACTTATTTATCTTTATTTTATCCGTTTTATCTTACTTTTTCCTCCTCCTTGTCCGTCTGTCTGTTTGGCATCGATATAATTGATTGATTCATGTTAGTCGACCCCAAATTCTTTTGGGATTAAGGCTTGGTTGTTGTTGTTGTTTGTAGGGGATGTAGTATTGTTTTCTAGCAGCAGATCATGTAGAACTGATATTCCCTTCTTAATATTGCAGGTTGGAATGGCTGCTACACTAGCGTCAGTTTGTTCAGTCCCTTTAACTTCCGTTCTACTTTTGTTTGAGTTGACAAAAGATTACAGAATCTTACTTCCTCTCATGGTTAGTTTTAGTTCTCTAAGGGTGTGTTTGGATGGAGCGGAAGACTCAAAGGGCTTAGTGTGTGTGTATCTTGATATCTTGATAAACAAAACGATTTCAAAAACTTTCCAAAACCTTCCAAAATCTCAAATATAGACTTAGCCCTAACCTTCCATCGAAAGTGGCCCAAAGATTTAAATGGTCTAACTAACGAATTACAAGTTTAAACCGTCTTAGTTTTTTTTTTCTGTTTTCTTCCTCCTTTTGACAGGGGGCTGTTGGATTGGCAATATGGGTGCCTTCAGTGGCGAACCAGCCAAAGGTCATGGAGGTATCAGGCACAAATAATTTGTCACGAGATTATTCTAGTCTTTCACCTGATGAAAACAAAAACATAGGGAGCATCTGGAGGGGCAATACTGGAGATAGAAATGACATGGAACTTTCCATTATTGGTAATTTGAACAATCTTGAAACAATTGATGAGGATTTAATTCTGGATAATCTAAAGGTGCGGCTTTCTGTGGTCTTGTGTTTTTTGAAGAGTGAAAAAATGTTGTATTGCTGCCTTGATTATTGAATTTTTTGGTGTATGATTATCAGGTTTCTCAGGCTATGTCTAATGATTATTTGAAGCTGTCATTGAGCCAAACAGTGAATGAAGCTTTGGACTTTATGAATGAAAGTCAACAACATTGTGGCATTGTAGTTGATGATGAAGATTGTCTGGAAGGAGTTTTAACTTACGGTGACATTAAACGGAGTTTAGGAGAGAACTCTGGAGATTTGCTGCATACAGATGTATGTATTTTTCTTTAGTAGTCATTAAGGGCCCATTTGGAACACGGAAGATACGTGGGAAAGGAAAGCAAATGCTATGGAAAGTCATTTTCTTATGTTTATTCTTACCTTGGATGTGATTTTTCAATATTATTCATATACTTAGATTTCTTAATCTGTATATATATTCTTATAGGTAAAGTTCATACTGGGTATGTTTGGTTTGGTTTCAAACAGGCCTTAAAGGTTTGATTTTTTTCCTTGTTGCTAATAAAGTTTTATTTATCAGGTAAATACATCCCTTGTTTCTTCCATATGCACAAGAGGGATAAGCTACCAAGAAAAAGAATGTGGCCTTCTAACATGTTATCCAGATACAGACCTGGCAATTGCAAAGCAACTAATGGTGGCTAAAGGAATTAAACAGTTGCCAGTTATTAAACGTAGAAGAGACATTCAGAAAGAGAGAAAACGTATGGTAGTTGCTATCCTGCAATATGATTCAATCGAGGAGTCTATCAGGTGTTTGATTTATTAAATTTTTGCTTACTGCTTTTCTGTTCCGTGTTCTGGCTGCCTCTTCATTCTCAACTTTTTAAACTTTTGCAGGAAAGAGGTCAACCGCTTTAAAATGATCTGTCAGCAGATAAAAGGAGAAAGTTTTGATCAGACAGATGCAAATGGCCACTAACAACATAGGACAATTCAAAACCAGAACACAAACTTCAAGAATTCATTTTTTTTTCCTGGCGTTGACAATCTTTTCATATAGATAATTGGTATACTCCCTCACTGTGCTCATTTCCCAGGGCCTGGTTCCTTTTACTATTACCAAACCGGGGAAGGAATTATATTGTGCATTTATGTTTTGTTCGATATGGTCAATAGTCATACCCCTATTGTATTTGTATTGCCTGTATATGGAATTTATTTTACCAATGGTAAATTAAACATGGTAAAGTGAGATTATTGTGCGTCTACCTCTGTTTGGTGTTTCCAGTTTTACACTTCCACATTCTCTTTCATTTTAAGGAATGTCATTTGTGGTGGGAGTGGTCATGTGGGAGTGTTCTGCTGTGGCAATGATCTTGTCAGCAAATAGAGTTGTTGGTGATTGGGTATGGTGGCAAGGATGGATGATAGTGATTGAGGGCTGGAATGCTGATGGTTGTGATAGACCAGTAGTTGGCGTTGATGGACGGGGAGGCTAGGATTGTGAATGAATGATCATTGATTGCAGCCTTAAGTATTTAAGGGGTGCAAGGTAGTGTTGCAGGGTTTCCGCTTGCCAACCGTGGTTGTGGTTGTCACTTGCTAGTTGGGCTTGACAAGGTAGGGTGAATGTGGCTTTGGACTGGCTTGATAATTGGTACAGGATTGGACTGGCCGGTTACGGTCTTCCTTAGGACTGAATCTGTTAATAGTAATCCGGTTGTGGTCTGGGTAGAAATGATTATTGGGAAGCCAGTCCCAGTCCCAGTTCAGTTTCCACCTGAAATCTTCGCATTTATAAGTCCAACTGGTTAAATCCTACTTGTAGGAGATGCACCAAAAAGCAATAGGTTATCCGTTCAAGACTTGGTTTGCCTGTTTCAGGGGGGTTGGTCAGTAATTGGGTCCATGCCCATCACTTGGGGAAGTGGTTTTCATGGTTGGTACTTGGTAGTGGTAATTGTGATTGACCGTAACTCTATGAAAAAAAAGAATTTTATCGATCCGAGACTTGAAAGATAGATGAATTATCAATCCGGGTCCTAACTTCTAAGGCCCTGTTTGGTTCATGGAATGTCAAATTACTTGGGGTATGTTAGATTGATGGGAAATTGGGAATGTATTCAATTGTATCTCATTTGTGTTTGGTTAAGACTAAGGGAATATCACATGAATTTGTTTGGTTGAATGATATCTTATACTGCAAATTTGGTGATTTTCTCTTAGGCTCTTAGCACAATAAACTTATTACAATCTGCATTTGAATTAACTTAAATTAAAGAATAAAATGAAACACCTTAACAATAAAAAAATCAAAAATAAATGAATTATGCTTAATCGTACAAATGACAGATACATTGGGGATGTTGCACCCAAAGAGAGATAATTGAACATTAAAAAATAATTTTGTTAAAATAAGTACATAATGACATACATTAATAAATAATTTTGAATATATCATTACCAAAACAGTTGTATAATAAGAACAAGTCAATGTTGCTCTACTTAATTTTGTTAAACTCTCTTTTCAAATTAGCAAAAGAGTGAACTAAATTCTTAGAAACAATAGGCACAATAATAAGAAAAGCATATTTAAATCTACTTATGATTCAAAGAAAAATTAGAAGGTTAAAGAAAAATCCAAAGAAGGGCACAATGTGTTGAAAAATGGAGAGAAAATTAAAATAGATTAAAAAGAAAATTAAAGAATAATCAAAAGAAGATTAAAGAGGATTAAAGATTAAATTTAGAAGGAACAATTACTTGATTTAGGAGACTTGAAAATGAAGATGATTTTTTTTGGACAGAATTGATTGGACAGGAGACCTAAATAGGATTGAAGAGTTATTATAGAATGCTAATTAACATGAGTAAGTTTTGAATAAAATTTATAATCAAGGAGGGGGGAATGTAAGATAACTTAAGAGGTATATGGGTTTGACATTCCCAGGCATGTGGCTCCATTATTTTCTATTTGGAAATATAACATTCCCAAAAAATATTCAAACTCGCGAACCAAACGTGGACATCTCACATTCCAGGCATTAGATTCCGGATTGTATATATGATTGCCCCGAACCAAACGTACTCTAAGAGATGAAATGTGTTGTCATAGGGTTGGAGTGATTGAAAACTATCGATCTAGGATCTAAACGATTAAGGCTCCATATGTTTTGATTTATTTATTTATTTTATTAATTCTATTGCTGATTTTTGATGAAACTTTTCATCACAAAAGTTTATTAGTTTTATAAAATTATATAATATTTTAAATTAAAAAAATAACAATAAAATTCATGACAATTTAGGCGTTATATCAATACATTTCATCTTTCAGTCCCAAATTGATATACTCGTAGTATTATTTACCTTTCAGGTCCTGAATTGATGAAGTTCTAAAAAAAATGTTTACTTTGCTTTGGAAAACTGATGATATATTATGTTTTCTAGCCAATGGGCTTATGGACGTATACCCATCCGCGGTTTGTGATTGAACTAGAACCGGAACTGCATAGTACCACCAGTTTGTAACCTACTAGTCCAGTTCAACTTTCTGAAAATGTGAAACCGAAACCGCCGGTTCTGGTTCCAAACCGGGTGGTTCCGGTTCCGAACCGTTTTTTTATTAAAATAAATAAATAATCACAAAGATAATAAGAATAATAGTACTTGTATATTGTACTAACAATAAATATAACAAATGATGTGTATTAGTTAGTAGGTAGTAATTTTTAGTTATTAATAGTTATAATACTTTAATTACAAATTATAGTTATAGGAATATATCATTTACAAATTGCTAAAGTACTTTGAAATTACTAACTTCTAAATTTATACAAGCTAATTTCTAACAAATTTTTTAAAAAACGGGGACACGGGGTGTAAAGTCAAATTTGCACAATAAAATGTGATGCAAACTCAAATTACCCCTAATTTTTAAGTATAAGAAAATAAAAAAAATTGGAACCGCAAACCGAACCAGAACCGAAACGGATTGGAACCAGAACCGCCGGTTTTGGAACCAGTACTGTGCGGTTCTGGTTCCGGTTCGAACCGCGGACAGGTCTATATGGACATACTACATTGATAGTTTCAGAATTTGGACCATTTAGACTAGAAGAGTCGAGTGCTTCTCCTGAAAGCTCTCTCACAAAAGGCAACAATTGAACCAAATTTTCAAAATTTTCTATTATGACTGTCATCCACAGAAACATGTTGAGCATCAGAAGAATGAATCATGGAATGTAACACGAGACAATCCATCTAAACGTTACTAGGACACCAAGGGTTGTATAATTTACATTTGAGGTCCAAGAGGCAACCTACTTGTGACATGTTGATAGGGAGAAGAGTTGTTAGAAGAAAGATTCAAAGCAGGATCTGAACCAGGCTCCATCATGGGCTCTGGCTTGACGACCATTCCATTCATCAAGGGACGCTGTCCAAGATATGCTGGAAACATACCTGCAAAGCCTTGCGGGTTCATCATCCCAAAACCAAAACCAAGATGTGGCTGGCTATGGAAACCTAACGAGCCGATGTGAGGCATACCAAACCGCTGCTGCTGTTGTTGAGAATGCTCAGGCCTATGCACATTATCAACATTCTGTGATGGTGGTAGACTGGTGGAAGTGTTGCCGTTATGATAATGGCTGCTGTTTCGTGCTGCAGGAACATCATGGTTGTGTTTGCCTTCATAGGTTGTAATCACTGACTTGAGATCGTGTGAAGCTCTCTCCACGTGCTTCCTAACCGTGCATCCCGCACTTGTGCACTTGTAGTAACTCCTGACAAAGCAGAATCAAGGAAGCACACAATAAATATTACTTCCTCCATCCCAAAATGATTTGCAAAGTCAACTTTTCTTAGTCAACACAGTTTCATTTTATTTATCATATCAATCATTTATTATATTCTAATTTGGATTTTGCGACTTCAGTTTATAGAGCTTTCAATGTAGCTTCCGAATATGTAAATTTTAACTATTAAAACTGATTTCACTATCCGCATGGATGATTTAACTTTATCGTTTCAACTTTAAAAACCGCAAATTGCAATTCAATTAGGGACGGAGGGAGTAGGTTAAATTGTGAAGCATCCCCACTCATGATTTTTACATATATTTATTTTATGGGACATAACCATTCACCTCGGATTTGGATTTCCTTTGACGACTTTTTGCCCATATTTGCGCCAGCGGTACCCGTCATCAAGAATGTCAACCTCACTGGTTGTCTGCACCACCACCCTCGGCTCTCTAATGGCTCTTGTCGCCCCTCCGGTCATGTCAGCTGCATAAGTTTCGATCTTCCTGGATGGAAACACCATTTCGAAGATGCAAAAAAGAGTTGTCAGGTTCTATACATGATAAAGTCATGTTTGGTCAATATCTTTTTTTTTTTAAATTTGACAAGGTACAAACATTAGAAGTCATGAAATTATATTTATATATTTTTGAAGTACTCTTATTTGTTGGTTTAAGAAAATGCAACATTTTGACCTTGTTTGTAACCTTTTATAAGCAAATTATTGGCTTCGTCTGAATTTTGTGGGACATAAAAAACTTGTTTAAACAGGGAGGACTCTTTTTGATATAGCATGAGATACACCTTCTCTTTGAGTCCAGTTCATCTCCTTCACCCTCATAACCCAATGACACGCTGCCATGTGTACCACAATCATCTTCATCTTCATCATTTGAAAAAAGAGACGATCCATCCACTGGATCCCCGGATTCATAGTGAGTGCCATTCTGGGTTTGAGATCCATCACAGTAATCAGAGCCCAAAATCCCAGAAGAAGTTGCCTCAAGGTTGTTTAGTTCTTCTGCATTTTCGGATCCAACCGCTGACCTATGGTTGGAGGGAGGTTTGGGGTGAATGTGGGCGCCCTTATATATAATCTCTGTAATATGACCCTCATGGGACCGCTCCACTTTCTTCTTGACCGGGCAGTTTGAATGGGTGCACTTGAAATAGCTTCGTGGATACTCGCTCCCTCTCACCTGTTTCTGCCCATACTTTCTCCAGTTATATCCGTCATCGGTGGGAGCATTAACAGAATTGGGATCTCGGATCCCTCTTTGATCTGTAACATCATCCTGTTCCTCAGCATCAGGCTCTGCACTGGCCGGAAAGGATTGGCAGGAAATACTTGGTGGAGGTACCTGTTAAACCAACCCAAAGGGAAACCAGCTAATAAATTTATGCCTCATTACTTTGAGAATGACAAATGAAAAGGGAAATTAATAGAAGAGGAAATATTACTTTGCTAAAAGTTGGAGAGTCAAAGGGAGGAATGTGCTCTATAAATAATGGCTCGAATGCAAAGGATGAAGTGTCATTCTTGTTAAATGAACTGTCTTTGTTGTTATCAGAAGCTGCGGTGAAGAATGCTGAGTTTTGACTGTCACCAATCGAGGGAAATGCAAACTTCCCAGTTGTTGGAGATGATTGGACCTGCGCCAACATAGAACATCAAAACATTTGACAAATAAAGATTCCTATGGATTATTTTGAACTGTATGCAGCAATATCTATGCATTAAAAACATGACATCAGAAAAAGAAGTATCCATATACTGGTGTATTTTCTTTTCATGTCCCTGAGCTGAACTCTCAGCATTAGCAACAAGAACTCTCTCCAAGCCCCCCCCCCCCCCCTTGCCCCCTGCTCAATACAATACATTCTGGTTATGTGCTTCAAATATTGTTCAGTCAAAAAGGTTTGTTTTTACTCCAACAGCTTCAAAACATTTGTCGCCGTTGATGTTCTATATAGTGGCCACATTTCCCATTATATAATTATATTACAAGAAAAATGTGAGATACCGGAAAAATTGATGACAAAGTTGGAAGGAAATGTTCCATATAAAACACGAAAGAGTATTTTTGAAACAAAAAGTTCTATATAATCTGACGGTTATGTTGAAACACATGTACTAAAAATAGATTCACTATTTTTTGGCTTGGGAATATGATGGAATAAAGCAAAATGGCTCACTAAACTGTCTGCGCTTCTTTGTTATGAAGCAATAGTCAGTTCATGCAATTTTCGACGTGATTTTCACCATGGGTAATCCGACCCCCTTACCCCACAGCAGGTGGGAGCCTTTGTGGCACTGGGGTAATGATGATGATGATTATTAAATCTTTCATGACACACAGATAAAATGAATTGAAATTACTTAGGGGAAGCAAAAAAAACTTCTTGATGCAGCACCCATCAGGTAGAAATTATTAGGATGCAAGTGATTATAGATGCCTACCATAGAATTAGAGAGGAAAACTGGGGAATCCAGCAGGGACGTTGGACTGAGACCAGGTGGAATTGGCAAGTGAGAGCAGCGGTTGTTTTGTGCAAGAGCAGAAGGGCCCGTGTTCAGCTTCGGGGCACTGAAACCGGCTCTGGCTGACATCCTCTCCATTAAACCACTTCCACAACCGTTTATTTTCAGCTCAGACTGATCACTGATAAATCTCGCTGCTGTTTGATCACCTGCCCCATCGCCAACACTATTCCTTGCTGATATATACTCTTCTTCCTTCTCACCTTTTCTTTCCTTATTATTTTTAGTTGAAGAGAAAAATGCGCTTGAACTTGTTGGACTGAGCATCATCCAATCCCCCATGAACGATGATTGCACATTATCACCACCAAACCCATCCATTTTCAGCACCACTTGAGATCAGAAACTGATGTTTATTGACTAATAGCAGAGAAATATATAGGCCTGAAAGGTTTTCAGATGACCAAACAATGCACAAAAAATTACTGAGGGAAGTAGAGTTGGAAAATAGTTCATAGTCCATCATCCATCGTTTGTGCTTTTTTTTCAGAGATAAATCATAAGTGATCAGCAATAGAGTTTCTTTTGCTAATTTAAGGCGGGTTTCAAGGGAAACTATGATGAAATCTCAAAGATCAAGGCCACAAGGGTTTCCCTTTTCTCCCAAACAAAGTTGCTAAGGTGTTCATTGAATTGAAGTTATATATAGGTACCAATTTACATGCAGGTCATAGATAAATTGTACTCAGAAAACCTGAGGACCCCCACATTCATCACCCAAAAGAGACCAGTACTAACAAGAATCACACTCAGTTTGCAATGTATAGAATAGCAGACATCTGTTTGATAAAACTTCAGAATTCCTTTAGCCTTAAAATTTACAACTTATAATGGTTCATTCTGTACACAAACTTAAGAAAATGAATCCACATATCAGTATTGCATCACCAAGGCACGAGGATCTGAACAGCATCAGAATCATCAATAGCACAGTAAAGAGAACAAATCCCAACTCATCCTACTAGCAACCAGATGGAAGGAAAAAGTTACAAAGGATAAGGCTTTTGAATTCAGAGCAAGAAAAGTACTAATGACGAGATATAGGAACGAATTCCCAGGGGAAAGAATGCATTCATTATAATACATTGATGATGTTGCATAGAGATTGTGATGGAAAAGCACCTGAAATACTCTTGAGTGAAGTTTCTTTTTTCAATCCATGGAACGAATCAAAGACATCTTCCAACGAGGAGCAGATTTCGCGATATGATTGGTTTGAAGTAACAACAAATAAAATCCGCAGAATAAGAAATGGGAAAGTGGGGCTTGATTGGATACTAATGTGGACCTGAATAAGGTCTGAAATCTGTTTCGGATTTCAGTCTGCCTCTGTAATTTTTTTACTCCATTTGGTAGTGTGAATAGATTTCGTTGAGTCGAGAAAACAAATGCGGAGTATCAAATTTGACCCACCAATTAGAGGGAACCAGCCGGACTTTTAAACTTTGACTAAAAGGGTAAAGTTGCGCAAAAGTTCTCATACAAAAACGCTTGATGCATATCACGTTATTCTTATGTTTTTGTCTCATAATTTTTTTTTTGCATCCAAAATTTGTACACAAATTATATATTATTTGTAAAATTATGCTCCCGTCTGTATGCTAATTTTGTGTACAACACTAATTTTTCTAGACTTTTAGTATCTTCGTCCCATTTCTTATTTTAATTTGGCACGCCTGTTAATAAGTGATTATAAAGTAAGCATTATGATTGAGATTTGAGTATGATAAACTGAAACAACCAGTATTACATAGTATTTGCCAAAAAGAAAATATAACATTCATTTTGAGACAACCAAGATCTATAACCAATCTTAGGGCCGGGCTTGTAATCGTATTTTGAATAATTATCTAAATACTTGTTCTCGTTTTCTCAATATTTTAATTTAAGTCATTTATCATTTAAAAAATGGTGTATATTTGACGTAAATATGATGCATTATAAATTATATTATCAATGTCTTAAAAAATATGATTAACCTATAAATGTGATATTATTTATTTATATAAAAGTTAAGTGTTTGGTGTAGATGACTACAGAATGTAAACTCCGCGTATCAAATATTACGTATGTAAGTGACTTTATACAAAATGTAAACTGTATGTGTCAAATATATAAGAAATCAATGTGATATTCCGTGGAATGTCACAATGATATCATTGGACCACAAGGTACTTGAAAACTGCATATTTAATCTAGTAACATGTTTAAAAGATATCATAATATATCTACATTTATCATGATAAATAACTAAAAAACTTCTCTCACTAATATTTTTTTTCCTGTGATACACACAAACACTCAAACATGCTGCGGGAGTGTTTGCAAGGGCTTGTGATTTTCAGATGTGATTTTTTAAAAGATTATTGAAAAAATGTTTTGTAATAAAAGTTGGCAATGTTTAAAATTGGAAGTAATTTTCATTAAAATGTAAAAGTTGAACTGTTAGATAGAAAAGTGATTTTTGGTGTAATATATTGTTAAAATACAAAAATACCTCAAATTAAATAATGAATCCAAAAATAAAATCGAAAAAGAGGAGACTCTACCTAGTGTTGCCTCCTTTACCTCTATGTAGCACGGAACCTCTCGAGAATGAGTGCGTTTTCGTTTCGAAAACTCTACGGAAACTCTTTGGAAACACTCCAAACAAGCATTTTTTTGAGTAAAAGTTGACGTTTCTCATTTCTTGTTCCTCTTGATTTTTGTGATTCCCTGCAACATAGCTTTACCCAGGGCCGGCCCTGATGGTGTGCAAGGTGTCCAACCGCACAGGGCCCAAAAAATTGGAAGGGCCCAATTTTTTTTTGTAGTAGTATACAACTATCTCCGTCCCGCTATGATTGTCTCATTTTACCTTATCGGTCTGTCCCATTAAGATTGTCTCATATCAAATTTGGTAAAATTTGTGTGGCTCTAAATCATTCTTACTTTATTCTTACTTTATCAATTCAATATCAACCACATAAACCACTTTTTATTAATTTGTGTGTCACTCCCTCTTGTCCCAATGTTAGCGGGACGGAGGGAGTAGTATTACTTAGGTGGACTAGGACAAGGCTTTGAAGCAGGTCTGGTTCGTCACTTCGCGTATTCCTCATCTGCAAAGGAGGAGCGAGCGAGGCATGCACGATTTGAACCCAGGTGAAAATAAAAGCATGCACGCTGATTTCTAAACATCAACCACCGGACCAAATCAACTAATTGTTGAAATACGGACGTACAAGTTTTATATTACCTATTTGTTCTACAAAATAAATAATTAAAATACCTCTTAATAAAAATCGGTTCAGTTCGGTTTGAATCGATTTTATAACTCAAAAACCCTTCATTAAATCGATTTATGTTCGAGTCCCGACTTTCGGGTCCCGTTTGAGTCGGTGCGGTTTCGGTTCGATTTTTTTAACTTGTGTTGAAACTTTGAAAAGAAGACCCAATTATTTTTTCTGCACAGAGCCTTCATTTCCTCAGGACCGGCCCTGGCTTTACCTTTTAACCTTTTCAATAAGTGAAAACGATGTTTGATATATATATATATATATATATATATATATGTTTTACCCTAGCATCTTTGGAGGGAACCGTTGAAATAGAAACACTGCAAATATGAGAGTTTTGAGTTAACGTTTTGAAATATGGCGTTTTGCACTAATTGTTATGGCCAAACAACTAAATTACCAAACATTTTCAGGCAACCTGCCAACTTATTTCACTAGTCAAATCCGTTGACCGAATCCACTATTGAGAACCCGTTAACAAAATTTTCTATCCGCTAACCGCTAAATGCTAAGCATGACCAAAAGCACCCCTAGAGCGGACTTTCAACTTTTGACATGCTCTTGAGTTTAAGCAAAAGCTTATCAATGCAAACACCAATTTTAGTTCTTTCAAAGCTAAAAGCAGTAAAAGTTCTTTTTTAAACTCTTGTAAAAGACTCCTTACGTACTATATATATTACATTTTCCAAATTTTAAACTTTTTAAATTAGATGCTCCAAGAGGTTAAACCCCCAACCCAAGGCTGGGATATTGTAAAGTAAAGGTGATTCAGTCAATTAAATGATGGTAGATCTTATGTATGTGAGCACCAAAGTTCCAGCCCAACATACAAGAACTGTAACCTTCACGCGGTCTTCGCTAGTTTCGATCCACAATCAATGTTCTAACTTTCGCACAATTCAATCAACTGAACTTTCCCGTGGGTACCTTTCTAAATTAGAAGATCAAGTGGGAAGCATTCTCAACACGTTATTCCACGCCTATGCATTTCAGACATTAATTAGACGTATGGTTAGGGGTGGACTCGGGTCCGGGCCGGGTCCGGGTCGGGCCGGCGGTTCAAGAATGGTGGACCCGGGACCGGCCCGGGTAGCCACCGGGTCCGGGCCGGGTCCGGGCCTGGCCGGGCCTCCGGTTTGGATTTTTTTTTTTTTTTTGCTTTCCTAACCCCCCCTCACCCCCCCCCCCCCCCTCCCAAACCCCCCAAACCCATCCTACCCATCAAGCCCAACCCGGGTGGAACCCCAAAAATGAAAAAAAAATTAAAAAAATTCAATTTGGCCCGGGCCCGACCTCGACCCGGCCGGGCCGGTTCACCAAAATTGAGACCCGAGCCCGGACCCGCCCTACCCTCGGGCCTAGGCCCGACCCGGACCCGGACCCGAGAACCGGGCCGGTCCCGGTCCCACACAGTAGCGGGCCGGGCCGGTCCACGGGCCGGGTGGCCTGACCCGAGTCCAAGCCTACGTATGGTTATAATGATGCCATTTTTTGCATTGTCATATCTATTTATTCTTTTGAAATTTTGGGGTAACCATATACAAAACTTTTTATTTTTGCTCACAACCATATACAAAACTTTTTCAAAATACTATCCAAAATTGTTTTGAAATATTACGCATAAAACAAATGAAAAATCTTACATATAGTCCCTCATTTATACCCCATTTTGAAATGTAGTTTGTGTTTTTAATTTTCGTAAATATTGTACCTTAATTGCAAAATGAACTGTAAATTCAGTTTTTGATGCTCGTTATGTTCCTTTGATAATGTACAAACTTAGTTGTGCAATATGTTATAAACATCATCCCGCAAAAAATGTGTATAATTTTCAATGACGGCGATTATAGCCATACAATTTTATTTTAAACATCTAAAAGACAAGATTTGTACTAATTAGAAAACATGAACTGCATTTCAATTGGCGAAACAAGCGAAAGATCAAAAGTGTGATTTTACTTAGATTTATTTTTGTCGCAGATCAGATCAGACCACACTAAACTAGACTAGATTTAAAAAAGATAAAATCATATCAGACTTTCACTGTTGTAAAAATATACACCAAACATCTACTTGACCAAACTCAAACAAATCAAACCATACTACATTAGACAAAACCAGAAAATTTCATTTCAATAAAAATTATTCTAATAGATTCGTAGTGCATTCCTTTCAAATATGCAATCCTCTCTACTTGAGTGTTAGAGTGTCCGTCACAAGTAAAAAATAAAAATGCCCACCTGTAATTGTTTTAAATTTCATTATTCATAATACCGGAAGTTGTTTTAATAAATGCATTTGTTGATAGATAACTAATTTGGAAAAATTGATTCTAATAATCCCAACTATTGGCGCTCCACTCATAATAATCCCAACTGTCGATTATTTCAGAATAATCCCAACTTTAGGACCCTTCCGCCAATAATGCTCCGACGTGACCGACTATAAATAAATTCCTATAGTTTCTAAAGAGATATGGCAGATAATCCCTATAAATAATACCGAATTTTAATTTTTACGCTTAATTTCTATTAAAAATTCATTTGTTAGAGCAGGTAATATGCGGTCATGGACCATTATTGGCGGACGGTCCATATAGTTGGGATTATAAAAAAATAATCAATAGTTGTGATTATTGTTAGCGGACCGGCAATAGTTAGGATTATTATTTTCAATTTTTCCAATTAATTTTACTACATTAAGTACTTTATAATTTGATAATATCATTGGTTGTTGACCTTCAAAAGTGAAGGTCTCATGTTTAATCTCATGTCAATCGCCAATGGTTTCAACTATCGATGAATAGATATTATAATAGCTCCTTTAAAAAATATAACAGGGTAGAAGTGTTGTCCAAAAAAATTAATTGCAGTCCTTTTTTTTACTCCGGGGTCTGGAGGAGCCTGGAGTAATCAGAACTAAAACTCACTCCATTAAGTTTCAAACTCATATGTGCCTAGCGGGTTTCGAGCTCGAGACCTCTCACTAGGCACGGTAATCTCACAATTCTACATTTTTTTTTCAATCAAGGATCCGAAGATATGGTAGTTATTAGTTCAGGGTTTGAAAAATAAACGTTATGAATCTAAAATACAAATATTAGTTCAGGGTTTGAAAAATAAACGGTATGAATCTA